TGGCTGTGGCTGGGGTGGGAGGGAATCTCCACATTGCGGACCTGCACTGAGCCCCAGCAGCGAGCGAGGGGGTGAGAGAGGTGCCAACCTGGGAGCCACAGCCCCCTCCCTACCTTCCATCTATCGGTCCTCTGATCTATGGCCCTCCCATCCCATTGCTCCAGGACTACAGTCTCTGCAGTGTCAGGGAACGCAGGCCCCCCTCTTCATCTCTCCTGCACCCTTCTCTGAGACCAGGAGCCGCCCCACCCCTGAGCACCTGCTGGAATCTAATAAACTGCCTGCACCCTTGGAGGAGGCTCCTGGGGTCTGTGAATGCGGAGGCCTGGCTCTGGGAGGGACTGTGTGGAGGGAGGAGAGGCCAGTGCTCTGGGACTCACTGGGATCCCTGGTGGCTGTAACCCACTTCCTGCCACAGCTTTGTGCAGGGTGGTGGGAGTCCAGTGCTATGTTTCCCCCAGTTCAATGGGGTCACCCCCAGATCTGGGTCCAGCCAGCCTGTGTCCCAAGCAGTGGCTTCTGGAAACTCAGTGGGAACCGCCTTCCCAGCCCAGGTAGGCTTATGATAGGTGCTAATGCGAGCTGTGGGGGCATTGACAGAGGCTCCTGCTAGACAGCTAGCATCCATACAGCTGGTTTAGCTCGCTGTCAGCTGCAGTGTGTCCTCGGACCAGACAGCTTCTGCCCTACCTCCCTGCCCCCTTGCTGGAGGGGGACCATCTCTTCTGGGCAGAAGGGAGCACCTGGGCCATAGCAGCCGAAAGGAGCAGCCTGTGAGATGCCCTGCAGGACTTGGGGGAATCCCCTGGAAGGAGTCTGGTGGTCAGAAGACCGTGAGGGCCCTGATCCCTCGTGCACAAGGGAGTGGGGAGGGAGCAGGAACGCAGGCATGAGACACTCTCAGTGCTGCTGGCTCCCCATTGCCTCCCCTCACTGGGGTCGTGCCTTTTGGCCTCTGTTACAGCCAGTTTCCAGATGATGCAAGAAACTCTCCAGCATTCCTGGGAAATTCAGCCTGGCCTTTGGGATAACCCTTCTGATTGGCTGCTCTTCCCAGGAGGTTGAAAGACAGCCAATCAGGGCTGTTGCAGAAGCAGCTGAAGCTCTTTCCTCCCTCTTCAGAGCCCAAAGCTCTGTAGGTGGAGAGGGAGGAGCCAACCCCATCCTGGCAGGAGGGGAAGGAATAAAAAGAGCTGCCCCCTCCCTGGATCTGGAAAGGGAGAGAAGAGAGGAAGGATTAGGAGAGAGTATGACGACCCCCTGGAGCACCCAATAAGGAATAGGCATAGGGGAGGAGCTCTGGCCCCTGACCCCCCCTACTGCAACCTGCCAAGAAAGGCAGGAGCTGTGCGCTGCAGCTGCGGTGCTGTGAACAGAGGGAGAGAAACCTGCGGGCTCTGGCACCGGAAATCCCCGTGGCTTACAGCTATAGCGATGCTAACCCCTGGGCACAGCCAGAGCTGCTTTCTCAGCAAGATGAGAGAGGGAGGGTCTCTGCTAGGCCTGGGGAAATGAAGCAGTAAGACTGGTGCCATCAGGATCGTGGCAGGAGACGTTGCCTGGATCCAATCTGGAGCAGCTGCAGCCAGCGTGGGCGTCTGCCCTCAATCCGGAGTGACTCCACCTGGGATCAGGGCTCTTTTGCCATAAGAGAAAATCGTGTCTCCCTATGGGCTCCTCCGTCTGCAACTGCAGTGAGATTTCAGGTAAGTCCAGGGTTGCTGGACTGAGTGGAGAGGATCAAACACCTCCACCAGGCTGGTGGCTGTAAAGGGAAATGAGGCCATCCCTGTGCCTCAGAGCAACATATGGCCTCCGGGAGCATGGAGGGAACATCCCCGCACTGGATCTGATGGTTGCTGGAGCCTTCGCTATTTGCAGCATGAGGTCATGATCCAGGAGAGTCAATGTAGCACCAGCAAACTGGTGCCAGGAGGCCAGGGTCTCCAGGCACCCTGACAGCTCAGTCAAGACTCTGCAACGAACTGTCTGGGAGCCAAGCTTTAACCTGCTGGGGCTGGAGGACAGTGCCAGTGGGGCAGGCCCCAGCCAGGTCAGGGCTCTCTGCAGACAGTGGGCCCCGTGCTTCCAGCAGCCCCTCTGTTTTGCAGGCCATGGAGCAGTGCAAGGCACTGGTGCCATGTGGGGGCTTGTTGGGGCGCTGGCCCTGTCGCACCTGGTGTCCTTGTTGTGGAACATTCTCTGCTGTGTGAGGCGCACACCACAAAGAGGTAAGTCCCTCACTGAGTCCCTCTCCTCCTACACGGCTGCCTGCCACACCCCAGTGGCGGCACCATCGTCCCCAAGATCTGGCTGTGGAGCTGATCTCTCTCTTTCTCTCTCTCCTGCCCTGCCTACATAGATGTGTCCAGAAGGCTCAGGAGAAGGTGAGTCCAGAGGCAGAAACAGCAGGGGCAACACATCACTGCATTGTCTGAGTCCCTGGCTGTCCCCACTGCGGTTCCCTCCATGTTGGGAGGGGCAGGGAAGGGGGCAGCTCTCCCCTCTTGCTCTCGGCCCCTTGGTGCCACTCCCCTGCCAGAGCTGGCACAAATCAGGGGTATTTGTTTCCCCATCCTGCCCGTTACCACCAGTTCAGCTCAACTCTGGCTGGACGGGCCTCTGGTCTGACTTCAGGGGCCTGTTATGGATTGAGCCCACACATGCATTTCTTCCCTTTGGATGTGTACCACCACCACTGCCACATATCCCCGTGCTCCTCAGCCTGACCCCAGTGTGTCCACCTCTGCCCCGGCACCGATTCATTTACTGGCATTTTGGTTTCCATCCCAGTGTGAAGCATGCGCCTGAGGAGAGCCCCCTGTATGGCAACATCAGTTACTTGCAGACAGGTGAGTGGCACCAGGGTCCCTCCCAGGATCAAGCCCCTTTTGGCTGAGGCTGCCCAGGCTCTATCCTGTGTAAAAGAGCACACAGGCGTGCACTTGCTCCTACGTGCATGCACACACATGTGCCTGCACCAGCAAGTACTCACACACCTCATGGAGGGGAAATAATCCTGTCACCTGTTCTGTGACACACTAGTTGGGTCCCCAGTTTGTGGAAAGCATCTCAGCATCATCAGGGCTGGTGTGCACCTGTTGGGACCCCGGCCCTTTGGCTACAGCCGCAGGCTCTGTCTCAGACGGGCCACTCATGGGCTTGTTTCAGGTGGGTGTTGTAGGGAGGTGTTTGAAGCGGCTTGGTCCATCAGTGTTGCATGTGAATGGGGACTCTGGCTGCTCAGTACCTCTTCACACTGGAGCCAGCTCATGTCTCTGTTCTGGTTCTGGACTAGCTGTACCAGCAGTCACCTTCCCTCTCCCTCTGCCCTTAGGGTACAATGCTGGATCTGAAAACTCCATGGTGCCAGAGCCCCAAGAGCAACAGGAATCCAGCCCCAAGGTGAGCCAAGGTCTTGGTACAGCTGTGGCCAACAACATCTGTAGCCACAGAACCCGCAGCCCACAGTGCAGGGGCTGTCCCCACTGGCTGGCTGACCTGTAGCATGAGATAGTGGGTGGGGCTAAGGGGCACAAGCAGAGCAGTGTGGGGAAAATAGGGCTGGGATATGAGGGGGCTGGTAGTTGTGACTGAGGGCACCAGAAAAATAGCTGGACATGGGGGACAGCCAGGGTTGGAATAGCAGGTCCAGGCTGAAGGCCACAAGCAGAACTGTGAGTTGAGTAAGCTGGAGCTCTTGGGGCAAGAGAATTGCAAGTGTTATATTAATGTGTTCAGGGGCTGTGTGCAGAGTCTATCTGTGTGCAGAGCCGCAGGAAGCGGTGAGTTATCAGCCCTGAGCATCTCTGTGCTCAGCCTATTTCCTCTCCTCCACCTCCTTTCCAGGTCCAGGCTGAAGGCCACAAGCAGAACTGTGAGTTGAGTAAGCTGGAGCTCTTGGGGCAAGAGAATTGCAAGTGTTATATTAATGTGTTCAGGGGCTGTGTGCAGAGTCTATCTGTGTGCAGAGCCGCAGGAAGCGGTGAGTTATCAGCCCTGAGCATCTCTGTGCTCAGCCTATTTCCTCTCCTCCACCTCCTTTCTGACTGCAGCTGTGCTGGGCAGAGCAAGCAGCAGGCACGAGGCCTGGAGGGGGCATTGGGACTGGTGGTAGGCCTGGCCAGGCAGAGGGGCAGGAGAACTGCTGGGGGTGGGGCTTAAAAGCTGGCTCACTCCAGCTCCGTGAAGCCACCTGCCCCTCCCCCCCAAAAGGCAGCAGTGCGAGGTGGTAGGGGGTTCTCTGGGAGTGAGTCCAGGAGCGCACTGGCTGCTGGCCCTGCCCCTAAGGACTATCAAATAGTCATGTGACCACTAACATTTTATGCAGTTACTTGACTATTCAGTTGCACACTATCTCACTGAATAGGGGAAAGGGGGTGCATGAGTGAGGCTGCCTCAGAACTCCGTCACACACTTGGGGGCTGATGGGAGCAGGTTCTAGTGAATTGAGCAGCAGTTCTAACTATGTTTGTGTCTCAGTAGTGCAGGCTTTGTGATGAGGGGGCTGAGGCATCCTCTGCAAGGGGAGGGATGAGTGGCAGCTCTGGGGAAGGTGAAAGCCCCAGGGAACAGGGGCACAATTCCCCAGATACAGATGGTGGAGGAGGCTCTGGGTGTTTCCCACTTTGGAGCCAACCTGGTCCTTGAGTGTCCTGGGGCTGTTTGTTCCCTGCAGCCTTTTCAAGAGGGAGCAAAGGACCTTACTAGCAGGGCAAAGCCACACAACTCTCTAGCATGTTGTAGTGGTTGTCTGCCTTCTGCTTTCCCTGAAACCTATTGCCAGATGCTGCAATGGTTAACCTGCCCCTCAAGTCCCCTTCCCCACACACCCTGCTCTCCCCCAAAAGACTGCTCAGTCCTAGTGCCTTCCAGCTCTTGTTTCTCTCTGCTCCCATCCATCCCAGGCACCCTCAGTCTCCTGGACCAGCCAGAATCACTGTGCTGATGCAGGGAGCAGTCAGCACAATTTCACAGTAGGAGCAAAACCCATCCCATGGGAAACTTGTTGGTTACAAGAAAGGGGGAGATTAGGGCTGAGCCTCCAGCAAACACACATGCCACCCTCCTGGTGACACCTCTGCTTTGTCCCCAGAAGCCGACATGCTATGCCAACCTCAAGACTCTAAACCCCCAAGGCCGGCAGCTGCCAGAACCATCAGCGGGGGGTGCTGAGATCCAGTACACAGATGTGATGGTGATAGGGCCCAGGCGCTCAGAACCAGAGATTTGGGACGGGGCATCCCTGATAGGCAGAGAGGCTCCTCGGCCCCAGTCTGAGCTTTATGCGTCTGTCCACGCAGACCGATATGCAGCCACGTTTGAGAATCAAGACTATGCTAACAACCATGCGCTGCCCAGCTGAGAGGTGGGGGGTTCACGGAGTGCAATCCAGAGCAATAAATACGACTTTCACTGGCCACTGCCTCTGCCTCCTGTGCTGCTGAGCGGGTGGCAATGTCCCGGGAAAGGTGAGGGAGAGGGATACTTCCTGAAGCAGAGGGACAAAGGAGCCTTTGGTTACTAGCACGGTTTAGGAGTAGGGGGGGCAGAGGCGTTGGAATGCTCCCAGCTGCCTGAGCTAGCAGATCCCTGTCCCAGGCACGGGTCTGCCTGCTCACTGCCACAAGCTAGGGGGTCCCTGCCTCCAGCCTGGGCCTGGGCCAGTGGGACTAGGAGGTGGGCCAGGCTGGGCAGAGCAGTGTGGGGGGGGGGAGCAGGGAGACTGGGGATGTGGTCTGGCAGAAGGATGGGGGAGGCGGGCGGAGCCAGCCAGGGGAGTGGGGGAGGCGAGCAGGTGCAGGGCAGCCCCCCAACTGCACAGGCTAGGCGGCGGCACAAGACGGGGGGGGCGCCGGGGTCCGCCCCCTCTGCCCTGCCCTGCCCTGCCCTGCCCTGCCCGCGGGCGGGGGATCAACTTCACCACTCGCCCAGGGTCAGGCGGAGAGCTGTAGTTCAGGAAGGGCGGAAGTGACGTTTCCTGTTGGGCGTTTCCATACGACGAGAGGCGGAAGTGATCTGCCGGGAGGAGCAGTTCGCTCAAACGCGCGGCTTCCCATTGGCCGGGAAAGGTGAGCGCAGCGAGGTCTCGTGACGGGAAAGGGGGCGGGGCCGCTTCCTTCCGCCCCCTAACTCGCCGGCTCTGGCCGAGTTGGTCACGTGACCCCCCCCACACT